TTAAAGATTTGTGCACCTATGTTCATGAGAGATATTGGTCTGTAGTTTTCTTTTTTGGTAATATCTTTGCCTGGTTTTGGTATTAAGATTGTGCTTGCTTCATAGAATAATTCTGGAAGTGCTCCTTCTTTTTCTATTTTTTTTTTAATACTTTAAGTAGAATTTGTGATCTTCTCTGCATGTTTGGTCAAATTCAGCTGTGAAATCATCTGGTCCAGGACTTTTTTTGTGGGGGAGTCTTTTCATGACCTGCTCAGTTTCTTCTTTTGTGATGGGTCTTTTCAAGTGTTCTACATCTGTCTGTGTCAGTCTGGATAGGGTATGAGTTTCAAGGAATTTGTCCATTTCCTCTAACTTTTCAAATTTATCAGAGTATAGTTTTTCCATAATATTCTGAAGTTATATATTTAATTTCCTCTGGTTCTGTTATAATGTCACCTCTATCATTCCTTAATCAAGTGATTTGTGTCTTCTCCTTTTTATCTTTTGTTAAGTTAGCCGTTGATTTGTCAATTTTATTGACTCTTTTAAAAAACCAGCTCCTAGCTTTCTTGATGGTTTCAAGTGTTTTTCTGTGTTTTATCCCATTGATTTAACTCTTGTTCATATGATTTCCTTTCTTCTAGAGGCTATGGGATTAATGTTGTTCTTTTTTCTATTTAATGAAGGTGTTGAGTTACAGCATTAATTTTGCTTCTTACTTCATTTTTTATATGTTTGCCTATTGCTATGAAATTCCCCTGAGAAGTACCTTAGCTGCATCCCAGAAGTTTTGGTATATTGTATTTTCATTATCATTTATTTTGAGGAAGTTTCTTTAATTGTATTCTTTATTTCTTCTATAACCCAATTGTGTTCTAGGATTGTGTTGTTTAGCTCCCAAGTTGTTGTCTTTATAAGCTTTATCCTCTTAATTTCTAGTTTTATGACACTGTGGTCTGAGAAGATATTTGTATTATTTCAATATCTTTTAATTTGTTGATGCTTGATTTGTGCCCTAATATGTGATCAATTCTGGAAAATATCCCATGTGCACTTAAGAAGAAAGTGAATTTACTTTTAGTTGAGTGCAGTGCTGGGAATACATTCACAAGGTTGAGTTGGCTGAATGTTTGCTTTAGTTCTTCTGCATCTTTGTTAACTTTCTTTTGAGTTGACCTATTTTTTGTCAAGATAAAGTCTCCTCCCACTATTGTGGTGCTGCCTGTTTCTTTCTTCAATTCTGTTAACGGTTGCTTTATGTACCCAGTAGGTCTATCATTTGATGCATAAATGTTAACTAGTGTATGTCTTCTTGATTTACTATGCCTTTAATGCTTATATAGTGCCCTTCCTTATCTTTTATGATGTTTTTAATTCTAAAGTCTGTTTTATTTCAGAGATTAGTATTGCCACTACTGCTTTCTTGTGGAGGCCATTTACTTGGTATATTTTCCCCCCCAGCCTTTTATTTTGAGTTTGTCTTTCTCTTTGTTTCTTAGATGTCTCTCGTAGACAACAGAATGATGGGCTTTGGATTTTTTACCCATTCTGCTACTCTTTTTCTCTTGACTACAGCATTTAGCCCATTCACACTAAGTGTGATCATTGACAGGCCAGGTTTTGCCGTTGCCATTTTTCTGTGTTTCTTTTTTAATTGTTTCTTGTTACTATGGTCTATCCACTTTCCTTTGGTGCCACTGTGTGAAGAACTTTCATTAAAATTCCTTGTAGATTTGGTCTTGTTTTCAAATTCCTTAAATTCTTTTCTGCAAAGGATGTAATTTCTCCTTCATATTTGATGGAGAGCTTTGTTTGGTATAGGATTGGCAGTTGTTTTCTTTCTCTTATTCTGTATATGCCATACTATTGTCTTCTTGCTTGCATGGCTTATGCTGAAAAAGAAAACTTAATTGTATTGCTTTTCCTTTGTAGGTGACTCTGTTTTTCTCATGCTGCTCTTAGTATTCCATCCTTATCTTTTATTTTGGAGAATTTGACTATGATAAGTCTTTGTGTGTTCTTTTTGAGTCTAGTCTATTTGGTATTCACTGAGCTTCTATGGATTTCCTCATTCTTCATAATACCTGAGAAGTTTTCTTCTAGTACTTCTTCCACAATTTTTTCAGTGATTTCTGGAATTCCAATCATATGTGCATTGTTCCTTTTGCTGTCATCCACATGGTTCCAGTGTTTTCTTTATTTTCTTTATGTCTCACCTCTGATTTTTCTTTTAGTCTGTTTCCATGGAGATTCTTTTCTTCCACCTCACTGACTCTATTCCATCTCTTCTATTCTACTTTTTTGTCCCTCCAGCATGTTGGACACTTCTGTCATTTTGGTCTTAATATTCTGGATTGCATTTTCATGTATTGCTGTTATTTCCAGTACTGTACTGGCTATACCCTCTCTATATTGTGGTGATTTTTTTAAAGTTCTTGTACCTCTTTATCTATTGTTTCCATTCTTTCTTCCATCTTTTGCATTTTCTTCTATAGTTATGTAAGTTCCTCCTCATGAATATGTTTCTTCTGGTACCATGTCTCTGGAATGTTTGCTTTCTTAGTGGTTTCCACTGTTTCTTCCATCATTTGCACCTTCTGTAGCTGTTCAAATAACCCCTCATGAATATATTTTTTTCTGGTTCTCTCCCTCTAGGGGATTTCCTTTATTTATGCCTTCCATTGTTTCTTCCATCACTTGAACTTTCTTTAGTAGCTGTTTGAATTGCTCCATATCGACTTATATTATCTACCTTCTTGACTTTTAGGTATTTGTTGGGTCTGCACTATTCTCTGGGGTGTGTGTGTGTGTGTGTGTGTGTGTGTGTTGGTGTTGTGTGTGGTTTTCTGGTTTTTTTTGTTTTTTGTTTTTAGGGTTTTTTTTTAGAAGGCTTAGTTTGTTTAGTCACAGTGTTTGAAGCTGCCTTCTGCTTTCTTGACATTATGTGAAGTTTTTCTTGATAACTGTTAGGTCATTTCTATTATGTCTGCATAAGTTGTTGGCAATTCTTTTTTTTCTTTTTTTATTAATCTTAATGAACATTCACAGAGACTTTAGATTTCCACTCTTTCATTGTTGCATTTTTATTCCTGCCCACCCCTCCCTCCCCAATTCGCTCTTCTCTTTGAAAAGTAAAGGAAAAATTCTTTCATTATTATACAGTCCTTCCCCCTAAGTGCACTCCACTATGCAGCCTTCATTCTGGACGCCTATCATGATAATAATACCTAATCATATATTGCTTTTAAACAGTTCTCTCCCTCATCTGTTTCAATGCAGTATACATTATTTATCCCCACTTTCTGAGTCTCCCCCCAACCCCGATGTTAGTCCCATTTTACAACAGTGGCAATATGCAGTACTTGTCCTTTTTGTGACCGAGATATTTCATTCAGCATAATGTCCTCCAAAGTCATTCATTTTGAACACTGTTTTATGAGTTCTTTGTTTTTCACTGTAGTTGCTGGTAATTTTTATCTTTATGAAGTTATTGATTAGTTGCCAGATTAAAATGTTCAGTCTATGGGGTGAGCCATTCACTCTATTGAAAGTCCTTTCTGGGAAATTTTGCCTTTCCTAAAATCCTTCAGGTTCTCCCTCTTCTACACAGTAGCCCTCCAGGAATCTCGCCTTAATGTAGTCCCCTGTCCCAAACTCTATTGTCCTTCTTTGTCTGTCGAGTGACCAAGTGGTATGAGACCAGGTGCTCCACTCTAACAATTTCTGTCTAGGGGGAGGCGGTTCAAGTTAACTCTCTTTTTTGCAGTGCAGTGTGTCAGTTCAGAAATCTGAGAATATCTTTCCCATGCTTGTGGCTTTGTGTTCCAAATTCTGTTTTCCTGTTTTGCCCTTGGGATGGCCCCATAGCCACAGAAACAAGGATCCCCAAATAGAGGCACCTTTCCCCAGGCAAGTTTCAGTCCCATCTCCCCACAAATAGCCCATAGGGCTTGCTCTAGGCAGCAGTGTCTCACTTCCTGCACTTTCTCTCCTGAAGCTTAATGTCTTTCTTTGTCTCTTTGTCTCAGTGTTCTTTTTTGTCAGGGGTCTAAGTCCTGCATAACCTGCTGTGAAAACTATTGTTTTACATGCCAATACCATTTTCTACTTGTTATAAGGGGTGATGGAATAAAATAGAACACATTGACCTGCTAACCCAAAGGAGGTCAGTCTAAATTAATCAGTGGCGCTCTGCTGGGCAGTCTTCTGTAAAGATTTACAGACTCAGAAACATGATGGAAAATCTTGCTGTGAGTCATAATTGAGTCAACAGCAGTGAGTTCAGTTGTGTTTTTGTTTTGTATTATCTAGTTGTTAACAAAGGGTGCTCTGGTAGCATATAGTAAGGAGTTATTCTGCCAACCCAAAGGCAGGCTATTCAAATCTACCAGCTGCTCCACAGGAGAAAGATGGGCATTCTCCTCCCATGCAATTTATACCTCAGAAAACCCACTAAAAGGTTAGCTATGTGTTGGTTCTTACTCATTAGCACGTAATAACTTGTTTACAAGAAAGGTCATTTCTAATTACTCTGTCATGGCCAGAAACAGAAGTCCTCAATACTGAGCTTAACTGTTAAACTCTGTTTTCTAAACCCTATTTTTGTAATTTTTGAACTAGTTGCTTATTCCAACATGAAAAATCTCTTGAGTTTGGGGACTCCATTGCCCTTCACTCCTGTTTGCATCCCATCTAATTCTTCTGTTGGTTTCTCTTTCTGTTTTATTGCCTCCCAAGCTCAGCACAATCAGAAATAATATCATTAGTAGTATTATGGTTTTCATCCTATTTACTCCTAGAGATAGACATTAATTAAGTTCATGAACTGACTCCCAAGTCACTACAGGCTCAAGTTTTACTATGTACAATAGATTATCACCCATTTAGTTTATGATAATATGATAATAGTTCCTCACTGGCTGCTTTGTGTGGTACTCTTTTTTTTTTTCTCTTTCTTACTTTGCTGAAGAATGAACCCACTAGAGGAGCCTTTTACTGGCCTTAACCTTTCCCAACAGGTTTACCTTCAGAAACTCTGCAGGAGATCCTGTTACCTCTGGTTCCAAGTAGGATATGTGCAATGCTCTATGGAAGCCCATTTATGATTCGGCCTGACATGCTGTGTGCTGGGTACATTATGAAGCCAAAGTCTGTTTGTGAGGTGAGCACCCCATCAATTAGAAGGTTGAAACAAGTGGTTTTCAGATGTATTGGTTGATTTAAACATAAGAATATTTTATTGGGAGTGTGGCACAAATCAGAGGAGTCCCAATAGCCATGGCTCTATGGGGCTCCAAGTATACACTTGTAGTGATGATCAGGCCAGACAAGGTAGAAGACCCATTCAAGATATCCCCACTCCCGTGGACCCCAGTGTATGTCACCAGGCCAGAACTCCACATCTTTCCAGTGACCATGGCCTGCTGCTTCTTCGCCCCTGTGGCCATAGATCTGTAGCTGTGGGCGTACCTTTCTTGCTGGGCTCCTCGCTACCTTTCTTTCTTGCCCTTAGGTTGTCAACAATGAATGCAGCCCAGCCCAACTATAAGCAAGGTTGTTCCCACTCGATCTCTGGGTCCTGTGTTTTACAGCCAATGAGATGGGGCCAGTAAAAGGCAAAGAGAAGTGTCCCCGATTCCATAGAATATTCCCCAGGAAGAGATAGTTGATTGTTCCCTGGTTGATTGAGAGGCAGGTGTTGAAGTGGACAGGGCCAACACTCTCAGTTCAGAGAAAATTTTTTCTCCCCCCAGGGTGACTCTGGTGGCCCACTTGTCTGTGAATTCAACGACACCTGGCGACAAATTGGAGTAGTAAGCTGGGGAAACGGTTGCTCAGATCCTGTGTTTCCTGGAGTTTTTGCCAGAGTCTCTTATTTCGTAGATTGGATCAATTCTAAGATAAAGTTACTACCTTTGCCTCCTCAGCCATACCCCCCTACCATCTCTTCTACTGTGAGAACCAGTTTCAGTGTCCAAATCATCATGCTGTCCACATCATCATTGATCTACCTGTCAGTGTTATGATGGAACCACCACCCTTCTCTGGACCTTCTTCATTGCTATTTACCCTGTTCCTGCACAGCTTCAGTCTACCCAAAGTTGCCTCATACTTTCCACCAGACCTGCTACTGAGAGTGGGTGAGGTCCAGGATGAAGGGTTGGGAAAAGAGTTGAGCTAAAGAAGAAAGAGTGCTATGTCATGGGCCACACCCAGGAAGGAAAAAACTGGACTTCACCAGGATAAAGTGTGGAAATTCCCAGGGATGTACAGGAAAGCAAGAGGCTTTAGCAGAGTGTTAAGTGTATCTGAGGATTTGATAAGAACATTAAATATTTACAAAGCAAGAGTGCCAGAATTCCTTCATTTTCTTTCTTCTCCAGAGTCCAGATTTCCTTATACAGATAGCAAATGTGTCTCTGTGCGTCACCATCAGGACCTCAAGAAAAGCAAATGGTGCAGCTAGAAATAGGAAGAAGGCTTGGTGGCCCCTGACACTCAAAGCAGTCACAGGTGTGAATGATATGCTAGCCGCTCTCCAGGGGTCAGGGCAGGCTCCAGGCATGTGTTTCCTCTTCCTATTGAAAGAGTGAAAAGAGACGTGCAAGCTAAACTGCAACATTTATAGGAAGTGTGATTGTATAACCCTGTGTAGCAGAATCTATTAAAAACTGTCAAACTATCAGACCTGTATCAGAGGAAGAAGTCATAGTTTTAAATACTTAAAAGTATAGAAGAATATGCTGCATATTTAAAAACTCTATGAAAAAATGGAAAGTAGGGTCTGAGAGTAGGCACAGGAAACAAATGAAAAGGATAAAAAGATAAATTAACAAATTCCTTAAACTTTAAAACAATAATAGTTTAAGGATGTAATCTCAGCTCAAAAAAATTTGCAAGTCGAAATGAAATCAAGATATAAAATTAGATTCAAAATAAACAAAGCAAGAAATGACAAAAGGGGAAATATACATCAAAACAGGAAACTTAGGAGGTCATCAGATACATTGGTCAACCCTACAAATAAATGAAAAATTAAAAAATGTATTTGGGGGGAAAGAACTTTGCAAAACTAAGCCTACTAGATGTAATAGCTTTAAATAAATCAAATGCATAAACAAAATAGACAAATGTAAGAAAGAGCTTTTCGTTCCAAATAAAAGCCCTCAGGCTTCAATGGAATTCTACAAAACCTCTAAATACAAAATCAGCTCAGTGTCTATTGACTGCTCCAGGGCATAGACAAAGGAGGAAAATGTTTATTCTCCCTGTGAAGCAAGTATATGCATACGTATAAGTCTTATGTGACAGTATTCACTTATGTAGAAAAGTATAGAACCTGTTCTTTGTACATTTTGGCCTATTGTTTTTATGCCTTTCATTTCTCTTCTCTTCATACTGAACCCTTCAGCTTACAATAGTTCCTTAAAAATTTCTGGTGTGTAGTTGGTCTATTTTATCAATACTATTAAGAATTTATTTATTTTAAAATACATGTGATTTACTGCATCTGACAACCCGCTGGAAGGTCAGCTATAGGTCAGTTGCAACTCAATGGTACATCATAACAATAACATGCATAAAATGCTTATGGTCCAGTAAGGATATCTGACAGCTTGCTTAATGGAAATAGGTGCATGGAACCCTTGTGGAAGTGAGACCACGTATATATGGTGTATGGAACCATAATAAGGGGATTGGTTAGTTTTGCCATGTTGCTAATCTTAAAAGTATATCAGTCCCAGAGCAGAGATAAAAGATGGGAGCAGAGCATGCCCCCAGGACCTGAAAACCTAGGCCCAGAAGACAGAGGCAGAGAGTATGAGCAAGCTGAATACTGGAGACAGCATAGGATGGGGAGTTGTGGTGGGAGCAGAACCCAGAAATGTGTGAGTTGGTTCAGTGGACTTCCCACCCCACAGAGTAAGACAGTTAGAGTGGGTATGTTGACTAACAGATCAAGAGAGCTTCATTGCCTTCAGGTTGGTGCATTCTGGTAGATGAGGTGCCCTTGGCCACTCTTTTGAGTAGCTATGAGCTTTGTAACACTTGTCAGAGCAGAGTAGAAGTTGGACCAAGAGACTGAGGGCCAGAAAGAGATATCTGCCTGTTGGTGTGGCCAAGAAGAGGCTATCTTGATCAAAGAATGGTATTCTAAGTTGTTCCTGACCCTGAATTATACACAGTGGCTTATTGGCATGAGTCAGTTCAGATTTTATTGTATATAGCAATGTAACAACAGAGCTCTGGCGGCCTAGTGGCAAGAAGCTGCACTGTAATTCCAAAGGCACATGGTTCGAACCCATCATTTGCTCCATAGGAAAGGGATGGGCAATCTTCTCTCAAGCAATTACTGCCTTTTAAAACCAGCCAGAGGGTCAGCTATGGGTCAGTTCTGACTCTACAGTGCACAGCAACATATACAGAGACAGATTTGGGCACAATTGAAAAAAAAAAACAACACAGAAATAGATCCATTTAGTAATATGAATTTAAAATGCTAATAAAATATTAGCAAAGAAAATTAAACATTATCTTTTAAAATATTGTATCATGACATAGTATAATTTACTCCAGTAATGCAAGGATAGCTACCTATGAGGAAATTAATTAATATAAATCAATGTGTCAATTGCTTTCCTAAGAAGAATGCTATTGAAAGGGTTTTGACAAATTTTAACCCATTTTCAATTTTTTAAAAAGAAAGAAATTCATAACTAGTAAAATACATATGTATATAACACAGTCTCAAAGCCAGCATTTCCCCTTGCTATTGTTGATGCATTCTCTGGGGTCAGAATTGACTCATAGCTGATCCTTCAGTGGGTTTTCAGAGGCAATAAATCACATGTGAGGAGATTGCTTATCTTTTTCTCTCAGCTGGTGGATTTGAACCATGTGCCTTTGGGTTGGCAGCACAGATCCTTACTGCTAAGCCACAAGAGCTCCCTAAGGAATTTCAAGGGGAAACTACTGTGGCTATACCTACATATACAAACATACACACAAGCCCATTGCTGTCAGTTCCAACTCATTACACCACTGCACCAAGCTTCTAAGGCTGTAATTCTTTGTGGGAAGAGAATGCCTGTCTTTCTTCTGTGGAACAGCTAGCTGGTAGATATAAATCACCTACCTTTCAGTTGGTAATCGAACATGCAGTACCCTACACATGAGAGCTCCTTACAGATGCACCAATTAGCAAACATAATGGAAGATAAAACACCATTTATAATAATAACAAACAGATAAAACATCTAGGGATGATCTTAACCAAAAAAAGTGAAATTCTGTGAGAAAAGTTTTAAAACTCTCTTGAAAAGCAAAACACACACACACACACACACACACACACACACACACAAACCAAGACAATTAAATTTTGAACAAATGGCACAACAAGTGGCCTATTTTTGAGTGGTAGGACAACATACAGTTAATCAGCTTCCAGCTTTCAAGCAAATCACCCTTACCCACCAGCATCCAAATTCACCAAGCTAAAAGCTCACTCACAGGTAGTACCAGACCAACTTTTAAATACAAAGACCCACTTACCAGATCCTGTTTGTCCACAGAAGAGGCTCCCACTCAAGCTGATTGTAAATGAGATCAGATAGAGTTAATCAGCTTACAATTGATTGCTAATACAATTAGACACGGCCAAACAGTTTACCCCCCAGCTTTCAAGTAAATCACAAACAACTTACTCACCATTGATCCAACTTTTGCAAAGCTAAAGGCTCACAACTTTGCTTGCTGAAAATGAGGAGCACTTGTAGAAGATCAAGGAATGCAACCTTCAGTATGGATTGCATCTCAAAGTCAGGAAAAGAGATTTTTAAGCACTGGACTGAGAGACAGTGTTATGATGGATAAAGAGGAGATTGAAACTGTTAATAGCTTCATCTTGCTTGGATCCACAATTAACACCTTTGGTATGAGCAGTCAGGAAATAAGAAAACAGATTGCACTGGGAAAATCTGCAGTGAGGGACCTTTCCAAATTATTGAGGACTTGGACAATAAATAATGATGACAGAAAAGAATTGACACTTTTGTGCTGTAGTGTTGGAAAGAGCCCTGAACATCCCATGGACGACCAAGAGAATGAACAGATATGTCTTAGGGTGCAGCTGGAGTGCTCTTTGGAGACAAGAATGATGAGGCTTCATCTCACATACTTTGGACATATTGCTAGGAGGTGCTATTTTTTGGAGAGGGACATGATGTTGGAAAAGGTGGAGGGTTGGCGAAGGAGAGGAAGACCCCCAACCAGGTGGACTGATATAATTACTACTGCAATGGGCTTTTGTGTGTGAGGAAGTGTGAAGATGGCACAGGACAGGATTAGGTTCAGATCTTTGTTCATAGTGTTACTATGAGTCATACTAGACTTGATGGCACCTAGCAACAACAGAACAACATAATATTATCCTTTCTGGAGCTAGATACATTGACTTCAACATTTATATAAAAATACAAGCAAGATTATCCAGGAGGACATTAGAGGGGACTATGAAGGTCATAGCTAATCCAGCAGGTAGTAAATTGCCCCTTTAATACTCTGTAATGATTACATGCTATGAAGAATAGATGATTTGTGTCTGTGTGCAAGAAAACAGACCGGCTGAATAATTAAGAAATGTGCAGAATTAGACATAAGTACATATAAAAAGTCATGCTGTGTTAAATATGTCCATTGAAATCTCTGAAGGTTTTTTAACTTTTCAAAATGCAGTAAAGTGGCGAGCTCTGGTGGCCTAGTGGCAGGAAACTGCACTGTAATCCCAGAGGTGCGTGGTTCAAATCCACCAGATGCTCTGCTGAAGAAGGAGGAACAATCGCCTCCTGTACCAGTCAGATCCAATTTGACAGTACAC